AATAGAAAATGATACAATACAGATTTCATAAGTTATATGAGTTTTAAGGAAAGTTTTAAAAGAAGTCTCGAGTGAGCGATTTCGATATTATTTACTCTCTTCGGGTCGCAAGTAAGCTTTTCATCGAGTCGGCAATCTCATATTGCCATGTCAATAGTTTGGTTTATACCGACAAAAGGACAGAGCCCCTCTGACATAACGTATTATTATTGTCTGCAGTTTGAGATCGGTTTTGTTATGAATGTCGAAGGCAATTGTGCCTGCAAGTTTCATCAATCAAAATGACATCAAGGTTTGGGTATAATAAACAGTTACGAACGAATTACTACAGTTGGTTTAGATTCTACGTTGAATCGATGTGAAAATGTATTTTTTTGTTGTTGTAAATAGCTCAAACGCGTCTTCGCCGTTAGTGTATGTCATCTTTAATTTAAACCTTCTGGAATGCATTAGTGACCTAAATAATGTATGATTTCTCCGAGAAGATAATACTGCAATCCTTCGATTTCCTTTAAAGGGATTAGAGCGAAGCTAGAATACTTACATGCATCAACCTTTAATATCTTATAAGAAACATACATTATGTTTTTGATATACATCAATTCCTCATACTTTTGAAAGCGGACTAATCGAGAAACTTTAAAATTAAAGTATATAATAATAAACCGTATAAAAAGAGACTTTACTAAGAAAAAATAATCATTTGGATATTCAGAACATACTATAGTGAATCCGGACTATGCGAGGTTTTGATGTATGCTGTCTCGTTACAGTAGTGTTTACTTAGTCCAGATATAACCGAAATCCTGACAATCAAAATACCGACAGAGTAAAATCCCGACAACCGTAATTTCGACAGTATAAAATTACTCTACTTACGAAGTAAATTATTATGATTACGGGTGTGAGTTGTGATTAGGAGTTGGACTTTGTTTATAGTTTTGAAAAAAAAGAGTACGCGATAACTCGACAACTTATACTAATTTTTCTTAAGAAAGTTACTTATAATATAACATGAAAAATAAATTTTATTGTTAATAAGTCTATATCAAATAATGAAAGATACTGTCGGGATTATGGTTGTCGAGATTTCCAATTTTATTGTCGGGATTTGGATTGACTTAATAAGTCTATATCAAATAATGAAAGATACTGTCGAGATTTCCAATTTGATTGTCGGGATTTGGATTGACTTAATAAGTCTATATCAAATAATAAAAGATATGGTCGGGATTATGGTTGTCGAGACTTCCAATTTGATTGTCGGGATTTGGATTGCTTTAAAACTGCATAAATATAAAAAAATAATTTTTATTTCAATTGTTAAACAAAACTATAGTGAATCCAGACTAATAGAAGCTTGTCTATGTGATGTATATGTTTTTCTCGTTATAGTATGAAAAATATGTTGAAATGTATTCGCAGAATTTCTCCTTCTTCCAGGAAAAACTCCGCTTCATTATATGTATGTGCCAAATATATTCTCCGAAATAAACTTTTCACCCTCCTCACGTTACGTAGAATCACGATAATTGGACGGTGCAGAACGAACGTTGTGCACATGGTGTGTGCAAGGAGCAGTTATATAATAACGTTTCTAACGCAAATATTAAATTCGGGTGATATTATGTTTCTTGAGTGCATCCAGCGTATTTCCATATTTTTGCTCGAAGGCGGAACTTCAATTTGCATAGAACTGGAAAGATGATGTTGATGATGATTACAATTTCAATAATATATGGGTTAAATGAAATGTCTTCGGTGTTGTCGGATCTTGGGTGTGGAGATATGGAGAAATAGAAATGTTATAAGAGAACCGCTCAAAAACCTCTGGGAATATTAAGAGCGTCGGGATAAAATATGAAAACGGTACCGGAATGCGTGGCAACGGGCCAAAAAGAAGCGGAGGTGGAGAAGAGAAAGAGTGTAGGTCGTCGTGTGGGTGGGTTTGGGTGTATTGAAGTGATGCTTAGGCTCTGTTTAAAGATGATACCGCAGGATGGATTAATAAGAAGAGGAAACGTCCGGAATTGGATTCCGACCGAACGCAATTAACTTTTCCAATACACTTTTTTGTTTGGCATGAGATCCAATTAAACTTCCGTTTTCAGGTATCCTTTCTAGAATTAAAAAAGTTACCTATAATCCATTTTTGTTTCAGTTCTGTAACATTTATTTTCATAAATAATTATTTTCTCGTTCAATAAGTTTGGCTGGATTAGATTGGGTTTAAGTTAACCAATTTGGGTCAGCATTTCATTCTTTTCCTCTCTTACCGTTATATTTGAGAAGTGTAAACGTTAAAATTGTCACAAAAATTCAATATTTTATATTCAGTTAAAACAATAATAAATAATCAATAAAACTTCATCATTACAAATACTTTTTTACTAATATAATCCTCATTCAATAAATTTGAATTGTATAACAAAGTTAACTAATTTGTATCGGCTCAAGAAATGTATAAAATGTTTAAATCAAGACTATATAAAGTTTAATATAAACGTTGAAATTGAAACGTTAAAACATTAATAAATATCCATTTGGCTGTAATTCATATTTGAAAAAATGAAAAAATAACGCTCGAAAAAGCAGTATTTTTACATTTTTTCATAGAAAAACTATAATAGATTAAATAGATTTAAAAGATACATGTGAAAGCTGTATGTTTGAGAAACACAGCGAGTATTCATAAATTGCTATTGGCAATTCGCTGTAATGTGGTAAAATAGACATCGCTGCAACTACGCTCCACGGTGCAACTATGCTTCCAAAATTCGGGGAGACCGCAGCGAACCGTGAAGGAAGACGGTCGAGGTCTCTAGTTGAGAAGAAGATTGATATATATTTGTGTACTCCAATCACGGTGTTGGTGCTCTAGAGGAGCCAAGGCCCACCGTTGGAGAAGAAGTGTGCTGATCTGAGAAAGCAGTTATTAGAGTTCTTCCTCTCAATAAAATAAAGTGGCGCACTGAATCTTCCCACGTCAGGGTCGTAGAAGATTTTTACATTTGTTTTTCGTACACGAAGCTCCATCGTGTTACATCCCGTTAAAAGTTGAACAACGAAAAATTAAAGCTCGAAAAAGTAGTACTTTCACATTTTAGTATTTTTCTTAGAAACTATAATAGATTAAATAGATTCAAAAGATGCATATGAAAGCTGGATATTTGGGGAATGCAGCAACATTGTTGTGATTTCTTCCATTTGGCTGTAATTTGCAATCAAATTTAGAAAAATGAAAAATTAACGCTCAAAAAAGCCGTGTTTTAAAATTTTAGTCATTTTCTTGGAAACTATAATACAGGGCTATAATACAGTTTAATATCCTTTTAGTATTAAAATACATTTTCTCATATTTACAAATAATTTACTATTATATACAAAATGAATGGAAAGAGACTAGTATATATCCTACTACCGCTAAGCTTCATGTAAAATAGCGTTCTGCACTGTTTACATACAGATTATAGGTATGTATTTAATACGCAGACTAAGCCGACTACAAACCATACTTGAGTTTAGAATCCTTTCAAATATACATTTGAACTGGAAAATATGCAAAGATATTTATACATTTTGGAACATAACTTAAGTATACAATCTCCTATATACTATAATAAAATAATAGTATTATTAATTGAAATAATCATATGTGTAAGTATGTGTAATAAAAAAAAAACGTATAAAAACTTCAATAATTTTTATATTTAGTAATTTATGTTAGCTTTAAGTTGTAGAGAGTATATTAAAGTATATAGTATATTATATTATAATAATATAAGTATATTAATATTAAAGTGTTACAATTTTGTATTTTTTTTTAAGAATGTCAATAATTTTTGTATTTACTTCTAAATTTACAAAAAATATATATTTTTGAAACGTAACAGTTTTCTACATACTTTTTTTTTCCAAAATTGACTTAAGTAAAAAGTTAATTCAAAACTGCAAAAATAACGAACAAATATTTCAATAACTACTCAATAAAGTAAAGTTACAAAAAAAAATTGTCTGGTATAATAATGAACGCTCGTTTATAAACGATTATCCGCACTTGAAAATTATAATGAAGTGTTGGGGTCTTTTCTGTGAACGATTTTATCGAATCCCAAAACGTTCAAGAGGACCATCAATCCTCTTTATACAGACATAAAGTTTCCAGGGATTCCGACTGATGATTAATTGATGCAAACAAAATATATTGACTTAAGTACAGAGAAGATTCGCTTCGTATCAGAATTTCAAGTAGCATGTATTAATTGAGATTCTCATATAATAGTTATCATAGATAGTTTACAATAGAAAAAAATATACAAATTGCTATTAATTTCTTAAATAAAAGCGTCTAATTTTACAAAAATATTTGTTATAACAAAAGTATAATTAAAAATTTACTTAGATTTTGCCTTTTTCCTCTATTTTATGATGCAATAGTAATTATGTAAAAAATATAATTTAATGTTGAAAAAGTAATGGAAATTTATATTTTCATTTGATTACATTGTTTTCTTATATTTTATTACATTAACCAATTAATATCAAAATTGATTTAAAAGTTTTAAATATATGTGATTCTTTGATTAAATTTGAGAAAGTAATAACAAAATTATTAATCAATAATTAAAGTGTCTATGAACAAATATTATCAAATACTTATTATTAATGCATAATTCTTTTATAGGATTGTAAACAAGTTTTGAAGTAACAGAAACCAAGAATTCTTTAAAAAGAAACTCGATAAATTCAATTTCTAAAAAAAAAACACGAATAATGCAATTTCTGTATGTTTTAATTCTTCTTCTTCCTCTTGTTATAGTTGGGATGGGGGTGCTCTCACAACCACTTTGATTTATAATAAGAGTTTAACATTGGCACGCACGCGCCGCCTCCTTCCTCCACCTTCCACCTCTTGAACTGCGACGACCATCCCCCCCGTTTGGAGCGCCGGCTTGCCAAAATCCATTCCACCCTTTCCGTTTTCCAGTCATCCAAAACCTTTCAGCGAGCGCGTTTCAAATCAATCAGAAGAGACCCTCTCACAAAATTTTACCGATCCTCTCGCTCAATTAAATAATTCAATAAATTTATATCTTAGAAATAGATACAAAAAAAAATATTTGATCCTTCACAAAAGACGTTTGAACTACTCTTTAATCCTCTCTCAACCATCACTGGCGTAATCCTAAGATTAAAACGTAAACAGTGCGTGTTGTGCGTGTTTTCTATTCATTATAAATATATAGATAAAGGAAGAAAAGGAAGGGTGAAGGAGAACATAATTTGGCGCTCCGAATTAATTGGTTCGCTCGCTCCACGCGAAATTATGTAATGCAATAGCACACGAATCCCAATTTACGGAAAGGTTTGATAAATCGAAATATCATTCAGCATCAATTCGAACGCATACACATATTATTGTTTTTTTTTCATCGTGTTTTGTTGTTGCTTCGCATCATCACATTTCCATTTCGGCACATGTCAATGTTTAGATAATTACGAATCGAGCGACATTCGAAATTCAATCTAAACAAATTGAATTAAACAACATTTTTTTTTATGAATTAATCATAATCATTGCATATTCATATTATGATTAAATATACACTTTAATTGACTTAAAACTAATTTTAAAAAAAGTTGGTTTTAATTAAATTAATTAAATTGTTTAATTTTTATATTATACAAAACATAATAGTTTTTTAATTGAATAGAAACTATATTCTTATTTTCTAATGTCATTAATTATTTTCTAGAGTTAAGCAATGTGTGACATAAATATTATATGGATGGGTTTCTCTTAAATAATTAAAATTTTGTTTAATTTTTTAAATAACTAAAACCAGATTAAAATATATTTTTTTTATTTCAGAAAGTTTAAGGAATAAAAGAGAGAAATAACAAATTTAAAATTGATTAACAATTGAAGTATTAAAGGGTGAAAAAAATATTAAGTACAATTTCAAATCTTATTTCCAGATAAAATGAAAATTGTTTATAAAAAATGCCTCGTATAGTCAATATACCGCACTGTTTGAAACAGAACAGAGGATTTTTATCAATTTTTGTTTGGACAGTTATTTTTTTATCACTTGTAACAAGATTACCTGTAATGTACTAATAATTTAGAAATTATTATTATTTTGCTCAATTGGAATATTTAAACCGGACTATAATGAATCCGGACTAATGAAAACCGGACCGATGCGAGGTATTCTACATTTGTAAATGAAATAATATATATTTCAAATTTAACTAGACAAAGAGGGAATTGGTTTATGAATTTGATGTAATAATTGTTGGATTTGGTAACACAATGTTAATAATTCAGTTCAGTTCGGACAAATTATATTATATAATTATATTATAATTGCAATAATAGAAAAATAATTGCGATTTATTCCATAATAATTGGAATTCAGTTTGTAACAAAAAAAACATTTAATTATATATCAAATTGAAATTAAATTTTGTTGTGAATTTAATGAATATCACGTTATGATTCTGATATAATTTTTTTAATTATTTATGATATTGGATAGAATAATAAAAAAAATATTTGAAAGTCGAATTATGAGATAATTGGATTTAAATTTGATGATATAATTGCACGAATTTGTAAAAAAAATCGATAATAATAATGAAGTTCAATAGGCAATTGTATATTTAGTTAAATTGCAATTTATTATATATGTAATAATTCCATTTCTTTCAATAATTAACCAATTCAGTTTGTAAAACATTAAAATTGATAGAAAAATTGACCGCACTTGCTTTAAAAAAACATATAATTAAATAAGAAATAAAATATATTTCTCTTTAAATTATTGTCATTCTGAAGTTAACCTTTGAATTATGTTTTTTTTACATTCACTATTCAATTAGTTAAAAAAATAGACGGTAAATTTAAATAAACAGAGAGTCAAATCCATGTAAAATTATTATATAATTAAATTGAATTTGGAATTGTAAATTCAATTAAATATATATAATATTTTGCATAATGGATGAAATTATTTCGAATAGTTTAATAAATTTGCATCGATTTACTTTTGGACTAAATAATTTAATAAAAGTAATTTTAATTGAAAAATTTGCATAACTTTTATGCTACATTTACGTAAATTGAAATATAATTATGAATATATACATAATTCAACGAATATTTATTGTAAATATGTTTATAATTACAATTGTGACATTTTATTACAATTGTAACGAAAAATTATAACGTTTTTTTTGTAAATTTAAATATTTATTGTTTTTGTAAATTAAATCTTAAAATATTAAAGCATTGTGAAATTAATGAAGATTCTAGTTCTAAATATTATTTTGACAAAGTTTGTAAACTTTACTTAAATGATTCATATTACAATACCTGTGCATTATTTAAAATATCTTAAAGTAAGAATATAACAATGCCTCATTTCACAATTTCATTATTTGAAAATTTTAATTGAGCAAAATTTAAAAAAATAGTACACAATTTGTTTGTACTTAAATGATCATTGGTTTCTCTTTTTGTACAGTTTATTTTTATGCGGTTTTAAAATTCTCGATTAATCTGATTTGAAATAGTCCGGGATATTGATGTAACCCGGACTATAATCAATTCTCCCATAGTCTATACAAATAAATAGATTTTTGTTATTTTTTTTTATAATTAATTAAAGAACAATATTTTGGAATCCTGCAAATTATGACTTAATCTATTTTCTTATGAAATAATAAATATAAATAAAATAAGCTGAATTGGTGTAATAATATGTATTATTAATGAATAGATTTGTACGGAATCGAGTTAATTAGAACAGACTTATGTAATCGGCTAAGCGAAAGTTTTTACTTTCAAAGTCCGTTTTCAAATAACACATTTGATGGTTAATGTAGGATTAGCAAATGTATTGGGGAGCAAAGTATAAGCCTTATTACCTGGCGCATCCACATTTTGTTTTCAGCTCTAAACTGAAAAGTTAGCGGACATACACAAAACTTTCCCAATTAAAAAATTTATCCTAATAAAAAAAGCATGCAAAACAGTCCTTATAAAATGGAATGTGAACTCATTTCGCTTTGTTAACAAAAAAAAAACATATACAAAAGTTGGAAATAAAAATAAACTTTTTTTAAATTTAAAAATCCAAGAGAAAGATTTTGTTTCTAATTGCGCATTTAACTTTTGATTATACAAGATTAACAAATAAATTGGGAAGAGAGTATAAAATTTGATTACCTGGCGCATTCACATTTTTTTCAGTTAAAAACTGAAAAGTTAGTGAAAACATACACAAAACTTTCCCAATTAAAAATATCTCAAAATAAAAAAACAACATAGTACTTATGTAATAGAACATCAACTTATTACGCAATGTTTAAAAAAAAAGTTTGGAAATAAAAATGATCTTTTTTAAAAATCCAATGCTTAATACAAAATTAGCAAATGTATTGGAAACAAAGTATAAACCTAATTACCTGGCGCATCTACATTTTTTTCAGTTCCATACTGATAAGTTAGCGAAAATATACACAAATCTTTCCCAATTAAAAATATAAGTCATTATAAAAAAAGATACAAAATAATCCTTATATAATGGCATTCTCATTTTGCTTTATTTAAAATGAAAGCTGGAAATGAAAAACAATCTTTTTTTTTAAATTGAAAAATACTAGAGAAAGATATTCTTATATAATACATGAAAACTACATTATGAAAGTTTCGATGCATATAAGGATTTCATTCGGACTAAAAGCAAACGAAATGCGAGCGAGTTTCTCGCTTCGCTTCAGGTTTGCGTCTCCGGAGAATTCTCTAAGAATCTTTCAGCCCGATTCTCAAATGCTGCTGAAAAATTAAAGGTCGATGGTGAAATCGATGGCATTTTAATTCCCCAATTCTCGGAATGTTTAATAACGCTCCTAAAATTTTCATCGCTCCGCCTATATAGCATATATATATATATATTTGGAAACGTACGGTTACAACATCACAATTAAATCGCGTTCGGAAAGATTTCCGCTTCAACTGATTTCTGATATTGCATCACAGTAATTTTCCCGAACTAATTGAAAATTTGCTTCTCGAAGTATGCGATTCGCAATTTCGGGACGAGTAGTTTTGAACTGTTCCAAATTGAATTATTAAACCTTTGCGAGTCTATAGATACGGCATGTGTATCATCTTCTTACACCAAAAGTTCTCTTGTGAAGGGATTCCTTACTGTTTCATGTAAGTTCAATTAACTTTAATGATCTTATAAACTATTTTATTTTTGGTTTAACTTGCAAACACACGGAGAATTATCGATCGTTTTCTTATAATTCACAATTATAATAGTAAATAGTGTTTCAATAATTGACTTGGTTTGGTGCAGAGTTAATTAAACGCGCGCGAATGAATCACGTTCATGTTGGAGTCGCTCAAATGAAATTTACGAACTGTAAATCTATGTACCTTTTGTGTACATTGTTGTTTTTTTTTCAAATTCATGAATAAAACAATGGTGAAAAAGCGTGAATACTGTACGTTTTTATCTGAACAACCTTTTTGGATTAAAGGTCAGCAAATGCAGTTACATTTACATGCATTGCGTAAATATTGCCAAGAGAATATTACTATTGTATACCTGCAATTTTGTCGTAACCTTTATTTTTCATTACAGAAAATTGTACTTGAACTATACAAAATTGATTTGGAAATATTCTAAGAAAAATAATTAAAATGTTTATACAATTGCATACAATCTCTAAGTTACAAATTTCAAAAAATTCCTAGCTAATTTAACAAAATATTTTTCCTAAATTTAGCTAAAGTTTTTTGATATTAGATATGTTTAAAAAAATCAAAATTTTATACTAACTTTTTGTAGATTTATTATAATCAAATTTATAAAGAAATATGTAAATTAATTAAGTTATTTAAGTAAATATAGAAGTAATTAACAAAAACTGTTATTTTTACAATATTTATTTTATAGAATTTTCAAATCCTTAATTCATATATTTTTTTATATAAAAGTATGAAATATTATATAAACAAATTGGTATATTTACTATATGTACTTAATATAGTACTTAGACGATAATCGGCGATAGACGTTCGTTGGAGGCGGTGCTCTGTAACGGCTTTACACAAACAAGAAAGTGGATGAACTTTAACCTGAACACTCATTAAGAATGTATTAATCGATCAGTTATTAAGTTACTCTAGATTAATAAATATTGGTATTATAATTAAGAATTCATGTTCGTTATTGATTATTTTTTAGTTGCGTTTTGTTGAAATTGCTGCATTCATTAAAAAATATGTAATTAAAATGCGTTTAGATGAAAGACACGCAATTAAAAGTTGTTGTTTGTTTTTTTTAC